AGTCGGAACTCGGGGGAGGGGCCATTTACTTCGGTGTCGTCTATTACCCCTTGCCTCGAGCCGACCTGCCTTGAGGACCTCGGGTTGCCGCCTGGCGTGGCTACTGCGGCATCCCTTGGGATGGGAGGTGGTCAGAGTTCAGGGAGGGGACCGTTTACTTCGGTTTCGCACAGGGCCCGTCTCCTCGAGCCGACCCGCCCTGGTGGTAGGGGAGGTGGTATGAGCTCAGGAAGGGGATCGTCGTCTTCGGTCGCCGCTATTGCCCTTGCCTTCGAGCTCGCCTGCCCAGAGGATTTCGGGTTGTTGCCTGGAGTTTTTATTGCGGCCGCCCTTGGAAGGAGTAGTGGTCTGAACTCAGGAAACGGATCGTGTACCCCAAGTTCGCATATTGCCTTCTCCTCGAGCCGACCTGCCCCGCTGGATGGGGAGGTGGTCTGAACTCAGGAAAGGGGAGCGTCTATTGTTGTTTCGGCGACTAGTGCCCCTCGCCTCGAGCCGACCTGCCCTGAGGACCTCGGATTGCCTCCTGGGGTGGGCGCCGCGGCTCCCCTTGGAAGGGGGTGTGGTCTGAACCCAGGCAAGGGGTCGTCAACCCCAGGTACCGTTGACCCAACGAACCTCGATAGCGACGACGACTTCCTCATGGTCGTGGAGGCTTACCAGGAGCCCACCAGTTGCGACGGGACCCACGAACCCGACGACCCTGCTCAGGAGCACCGCGGATGGGGAGGTCTCCCGTTGCCTCCTAGTGCTATTCGGGTGCGGAGAAGAGCACCGTCCTGAGCGAGTTGCCTTCGGAGGGCCCCTCGTCACTCAGGCCAGATTACATCCAGGACTCCTGGGGAGTCAAGCTCTCGACCCACTCCTCCGCGCTGGGTCGTTTTTTTTTGTTTGTTCGTTTGTTTACATATATATATATATATACAGTTTTTTCTCGAGCTGGGTGGATCGCCTCGAGAGGTTCCACCTGGCAAGCAATCGGTTTTCTTGGGGAGCGCTGCTACGCCTAACCCACGTATCGCGCGCATGTCAATGAGGGGCCCGCCGTCTCGTTTTGTGGACCCTGTCGCCGCATGGTGGGATGGGTTGGCCAAACTGTCAGCGATTGGGGAGGCGTCGGCCTGTTTGGTGGGTGCTGGGAGACAGGCCAGCCCCCAAGGCCTCGTAGCCAAAGAGAAGCTGATGGGCGGTGCGCGTTCGACCCCCGAGGCGGCGGTGTCCTGGGAGATTTGGCGTCGAGGTCCCTGCCGGCTATCCGCCGCCCAGTGGAAAACGTTCGGGGAGAATGCCCGCGTCAATGTAATTACCAATGCTAAGCAGGCCTCCTGCTCGTGCTGCGCGCGCCGGTTTCGAGACCTGGGTCGCGGAGGCCATTTCTCAGAAGGTCGTCAAGTTGCGCCACCTCTCCAAGCCCCCGCCTGAGGTCCAGTCTGAATTGCATCTGGGGTCGGGCTGCGCCGGTAGCCGTGGACCAACGCGGGGTTCCGTCGGTTTGCTAGGTGGCCCGCCCCCGGCTTTCGACAGAGGCCGAAAACTGGTCAACGAAGAGACGCTGTCGGATTTAAGCCCTCGAGAGGCTCCAAGCGAGCATTTGTTAGATCTCTGTCCAGACGGGCCGGGGGATCGAGAAACTAGGGCCCGGGGGCGTCCGGGAGCTGGGGCCCCAGGGCCAGTCTGATCTTTATGATGTTTTCAAGCGCGTCGAAAGCGACTCGGCATGGCCGCAGCAATTGCCGCCCGCCATCGTTGGTCTGGCCCCGGAGGATGCGGGAGGGAAGCGGGCGATCGCCCTGCTGAGCTGGCCACCCCGATTCCGGGGCCTGCTATGGGCCGACGTTTCCAGGGGCTGGCTGGGCGGACAGGCCGGCTCCCGGGGCGGGGCCGCCAGGGGGGGCAGCGCCCTCAGAGCGGCGGTCGCCCGACAGTTCATGGGCGAGGCGGCAGATGCCATGGGGGTCGCGCGCGGCTGTCTTTTGTTGGACGTGCAAGAATTGTGCAATTCCTTCTGCGTCGGTTCGTTGATGGGCCGCGGTCTCGACCTAGGCAGCTCGCCCACCGTCCTTGCATTGTTTTGGCAGCTCCACTTAGGGCCCAGAATCCTCCGGGACGGAGTCGGTTGCCGAAGCGCCAGGAAGGGGGCTGCCGTTTTCGCGCGCCCCATCTTCGACTCTCTTCATCGGACCTTTTTCCACCGAGAGCTGGTCGCCAAATCCTGGGTCTATGATGCTCATTTTCGCGTCGAGGGGCCCCGGAAATGCACGGCGGGGCGCCTCGCGGAAGGTGTCGCCCGGACGCCGGGATTGTTTTCGCGGAAGGTGTCGCCCAGGACGGTTTAGCCCCGTCTGATAAGTCAGCCGCTATCGCTACAGATCGCACGCTGTCAGCGGGGATCACTGCTTCCCTTCGCGCCGCGGGCCTCCAGGCGGGAAGCGAGGGGGCCGCGGCGGACCCCGGTGTCGAGAGAGGCCCTAGAGGTCCCCGGAGGCCAACTAGACACCGCGCCAGGAAAGGCGCCCTCTTGGCGGCAGGCGAACGAGCTTCGGAAGCTTGCCAGGGGTGCCTCTGGATCGCGGCCTGCTAGGCGGGCCGCTACTATTGGCATCGCGCCGCGAATCGCCGATAGGGCCAAAGTTGCCCCTTTCGCACCGAACCCAAGGAATGACTTCAGGCGTTGCATGGGCCAGTCTGCCACTTTCAGGGCGATGTCTCGCGACCGCGCTGCACCTCGACTGCGGGGGCCAGGGCCCTGCAATTGCGCGTCCAGTGAGCGTATCAGTCTTTGGTTTGAGCTCGCGTCCTCCTCCGGCCCCCTCAGCGTCGGGCGCAAAGGGCCTGGCCCATTGACTTCCAGTCTGTTGCAGCTGCTGACCCGTCGCGGCGCTGGAATATGGTAAACGGCGCGATGGCGGGTGCGATGACTGTGCTTCTCGCCGCAGGCTGGGGCCCCGGGCGGGGATCGCCGCGCGGTCGCGCGGTCGCGGGGCTTGTTTTCGATGGTGAAGTTTACCCTGGCTGGGAACGCTTTTCAATTCGACTTTTCGGGGGGCCCGGAGGCCGTCGGCCTGGGCGGTCGTTTCAGTGCATCTCAACGGCCGACCGCTGGGGGGCGGGGCGTAGACCTCCGACCTTCGAGGCCCCGAGGGCCACGGCCAAAAGAGGGGCCAAGAGTGCGGGGCAGGACAGCGCGCGGCAGCAGCCGCGGGCTTCTGGCCTGGAGACAGGTTGGCCCGCGCAGGGCTGGAGGTCGAGTCCAATGTGCGTCGGAGGCGTGGCCGCGAGCCTGAAGCCGACATTCGCCGCCGTTGGGCCTGCCCCGAGAGTGCCAGGGTTGCGCGTTGCTGGGCCGCGCAGCATCTAGTCGACCAGGCCGCGGCAGGAGCTGAGGAGCACCCCTGCTACTGGCTGAGAGGTATCATCCCTAAGACGTGGACTTCGCAGCGTGGCTGGGCCCTATCGTTGCCAAGTTCCGCCCTTTTGCCTCCTGATGCCCCCCCCCCGCCCGTTCCTGCGTGGTTTGCGCGATGAGGGGCGCATTTGGCTGGGTGGAGACGAATCGCGAGGACCCTGCCCAGGGCGCCCTCTGCTCTGCAGGACCTTGGGCGCGGTTTCCGTCAACTGGGTCGCCGACCCGCGGGGCTTGAAATAGTTTCAAACGTTTGGAGTTTTGGGGGCGCCGTCCCAGGCCCCGTGCAAAGCAGTAATCGTTCCGAGCTGTTCGCGTTTATTGAGGTTGTCCTCGCTACCGAGGGCAGGGGCCTCGCATATTTCACCTACGGTGCTTACGTCCAGGAGGGTCTGTTCAGGCTTAGGGCCAAAGCGCTCTGGCAGCCCAGGTGTCATAGAAACCTCTGGAATTTGGTGAGGGGCCAACCATGGACATATATTTTGAAGTTGTAAAATTTGAGTGCCACGCCGATGAGTCAGGTGTTGCGCGAGCCTCACCCGAGGCGAGGTCCCTTTTCGCCTTCAACGCGTTGGAAGACAATCTGGCTGAGAAGATGTCTCCAGAGGCCCATGTCGCAGCAGGAGCAGCGCTGCCGCTCTGCCTGAGCTCGAGGTCGAGTCAAATTACATATGCCTTCGGCTAGTCGCCATTTCGGCAGAGATACCTGCTTCCCGTCCAGTTTCTGAGATGTGTTCGGGCCTGGGGACCTCGACCCAAACTGGACATGAAGCGCGCTAGACTTGACACGCTTCAGTCCCTTTGGCCCATCGACGGCGAGCGCCGACGCTGGCATTGCCGATCCTGTGGGTCTGAACCCCAGAAAAGGTCCAAGAGTGCCATTGTGTGAGGTGGCTTCGGGAATCGTGCAGTTTCCCAGTTGTTGCTAATCCCTCCTGCCAGGCCCCCAGTTCCGTGGCCCCGGCCCGCCGCGGCCTGACAGCGCACGCCTCTCACGCGATGCGGTGGTGGGAGGTCGGGGTGGGCTCCCGAAAAGGACTTTATGTTTGCCTCTTCAACCTGTGGTGGTCTCGGCACGGACCTCCTCCTCCTCCTCCTCCTCCTCCTCCTCCTCCTCCTCCTCCTCCTCCTCCTCCCCCCCCTCCTCCTCCTCCCCCTCCGTGAGGGAAGTTGGCTCATGAGTGCCAGCTCCCCGCACGCACGGGGCTGGCTTATTCGAAGGCCCTTGGGAAGGGCCCCGCCCCTGGCCGTGCGACATTGGCCAGGGAAGTCAGGTCCCTGGCGTGACCCTGCGGAGCCGCGCGCAGCGCATCGTCCAATCGAATCCTCCTCCCATGCTCCCTCCCTCCCCCCCTCGCCTCCCTCCCTCCCTCCATCCCTCCTCCTCTCTCCGTCGTTCCTTCCTCCTTCCCCCCCCCTCCGTCGCTCGCTCCCTCACCCGCTCCCTCCTCCCTCCCTCGCTGCTCCCTCCTCCGTCCCTCCGTCTTCCCTCCTCCTCCCTCCCTCCCTCCCCCCTCCTCTCTCCCTCCCCCGTCCTCCCTCCCCCCCCCTCCGCGGGGCGCCCCCGCGTGTGCCACGCGCGCCCGGGCGGTCGGCGATGGCGGGCGCCGGCACCCGCGCGGCCGACAGCGCGAACTACAGGGGCGTTTTCGACGGCGGTTTGGGCTTCGGGCGCAGGAGCGCCGTGGTCGTGGTGGACTTCCTGAAGGCTTCGCGCGTCGTCGTCGTCGTCGTCGTCGTCGTCGTCGTCGTCGTCGTCGTCGTCGTCGTCGTCGTTGTCGTAAGTCGTCCTCACGTCTCGGGTTGGCCTTCTTGAAGGTTTCGCGCCGCTCGTGGTCGACCGTCTCGGGGTTTGGGGTCGTCTCGAGGTGGAATCTCTGAATGCTTCAGGCCTCTCGTCGTCGTGTCGGGTCGAAATCAAGCGGGGGTGCTGGGAAATCACGGGGTTTACGGAGTCCGCCGCACGCAGCTGGTTTTCGGCTCCCCCTGTAGAGGGACAGGCCCGACTCAAGCATACTCGCCCCCAGCTGTGGGAGGCGCTGGGATCACCGGCTACGCGGGCTGACACGCTCCCCCCCCCGTTTCGGTCCGACCCGATCGTCTTCGCAGACGGCATCTACACTGTTCTCGGGCTGCGTCGGTTGTGCCGGCAGCCCCTCCCCCTCCCCTCCCGCCACCCCAGAGGGCAGCCGCGCGCCGCAGGGAGGAGGCGCCGTCCGTCCTCCCTGTTGCAAAGTTTGGCGGGCGCGAGGATGTTTTCCCCCCCTCCTCCTCCTCCTCCTCCTCCTCCTCCTCCTCCTCCTCCTCCTCCTCCTCTCCCCTCCTCCTTCCCCTCCTCCTCCTCCTCTCCTCCTCCTCCTCCTTCTCCTCCTCTTCCTCCTCCTCCTCTCGCTCCTCTCCTCCTCCTCCTCCCCCTCTCGCTCCTCACTGGCTCCTCCTCCCTATCTCCTGCTCCCACTGGCTCCTCCTCCCCTCTCTCGCCTGTCCTCCCGTTGCTCCTCCTCGTGTCGCCCGCTCCTCGTCTTCCCGCCCCTCCAGCGCGTACTCCAGATTTCGCAATAAAGGGAGGGGGGTCTCATTTCGGGGGGGGTCTGTTCCAGGCTATCTTGGAGGGCCTGGGGGGTCTGGGGACGATGTTTTGGAGGGTTCTCCCACGGGGTAGGTCTGAAATGGCTTGTTTTGGAGGGTCCAGACCCCCTCCCTTTTATTACGAAATCTGGAGTACACCCCCTCCGCCATGCCAAGACCTAGCCTTAAGTCGGGCCTGTCCCTCTACAGGAGGAGCATTCAAAAATAGTAAAAAATAGTCGGGGACGATTTGTTCACCATTTTTGACCAGGCATTGTTGAAAATTTTGTCGTCCAAAGTCCGCCTGTAGGGGGACATGCCCGACCCAAACCGAGCGGCGAAGACTGGTCGGGTGTTGCCAGAGGTGCCCGTGGCCCAATGTGCCCTCGGGATTCCCACGGAGGCCCCACGGTCTCTAGCACCCCTCACGAGGCCGAGAAGGCCCCATGGGGCTCCAGAATGGAGCGAAACGCTGGGACACCTTGAGCCAGGGGCACCTTTGGCAACCACCGAACTGGGAGTGGCAGAGAGGAAGATGGCTATAGCTCTACGCAGACCTCGGGGCAGAGCTCAAGGTTCTCAGCTCAAGCTCGAAGCTGTAGGAGGAGTTGGACGAAGGGTTGGACGAGAGGAGGAGGAGGAGGAGGAGGAGGAGGAGGAGGAGGAGGAGGAGGAGGAAGGCCTTGGGCCTTCTGATAAGTGTTCGAAGCCTTCCCCGAAGACGCATAACTTCCCAGAAGGCCAGAAGGCTCCCGAGAAGTCCCGCCGCCCTCTGAGAAGGCAATCCTCCCTCTCACTTCTCCCCTCGGGGCGCCGCCGACTCCAAGGAGGAGGAGGAGGAGGAGGAGGAGGAGGAGGAGGAGGAGGAGGAGGAGGAGGATCTCTGTCTCCCTCCCCTCCTGACGGGGCCCGGGGGTGCGCCTAGGGCCTTTGCCGACGGGCGGGTGGAGACCACGGCGGCTCGAAGGCGATCCCCGGACCCCTCCCGGGGGTCCAAACCTGGACACGATCGTCGGGGGCCCCCAGACGGGGTGGCGACCACACCGTGTGGTGAGTTGGCGGGGATTCGAGGTCACCGCACGGTTTTGAGACTCGAGTCCCTCTCCGAGGACGTCTCGGGCGACAGGGGCTTCCGGGGTCCCAAAGCCGTGCGTTGGCAGACCGTTCGGTGAGGTCTTGCGGGATTTCGAGGTCACCGCACGGTCTGTCACCGCACCGTCTCGGAACTCCACAGATCGCGTCGCTAAACATTCAGTATTCAGGATGGGTTTTTTGGTCGTTTTCGGCCTTCCTCCGCGCAAGGCGTACACCGCGCCCGGCAGCGCGCTGCACTGCCCGGGCCGCGGTTCCGGCGCCGCGGACGCCGCGGCGGCCGCCGTGCCGCTGCTGGCGCTGGCGCGGAGCAGGGGCGTTCCGGTGCTGTACGCCGCGACGCGGTGTCGGGGTATATGCAACAGTTCGGAAGCAAAGAGGGGGGGCGATGACTAGGGGGGGGGGATATCGTGGCGTGGGCCATGATATTTCGTCAGATTTCATGGCGCCTCTTCTTGTTTCACTCCGTCCCTGGTACCACATGCCACCAGCCATGATTTGCACGCCCCCCCCTCTTGGACGCCCCCCTCTTGGCCACCCCCGATACACGCAACGGTTCGGTAGCAAATCTCGGCGGCGAACGCTCCAGGCCTCCCAGATGGGGTCGGAGTAGATGGGGTCGGTGCATCGCGCCGCATCGCCGATGCGTTGAGGATGCGGCTCGATGTGGGGCCCGATTTTCTCAACGCCGACGTCGCCGATGCATGGCTGACGTCGCCGTTGCATCGCCAATGCATCGGCGAGGCGGCGCGATCCTCAGACCCCAGGTAGTCCGACCCCATCTAGGAGGCCTCTAAAAGCCGAGCCCTTAAACCCTTAAACCCCTGCCGATCAACGATTCAGGCAACGATGGGCGGCGGGGGGAGGGTTCGGAGCTCGTCGAACGCTTGGGGAAATCCGAACCCTACCCCCGCCCCCCATCGATTCAGGAGGCTCGATGGTTAGTGCGGGTGGTTCGGATATCACCACCTAAAATCTTCGGAGCCTTGTATGTTCTCCCAGTTCCGTTTTTAGAGCGCGTTAGCGCGCGCTATTCTCCAGCAGTCAAGGCCAGAGCGCCGATTTAGCGTTGCTGAGCGTCGAGTCAGCGTCGATTTAGCGTCGATGAGCGTCAATGGTCGTCGATTATCGTCGGTTTGCATCGATCGCAAGAGCTTGTAACTTGGAATAGGAGGCTCCCGTGAGTTGCCACTGAGAAGCGGGGTTCAGCGCAAACGGGACTCAGCCAGAGCGCTGGATTCTGCAGGATCCTGCAAAGCCTGATACTGGTTGAGCCGGGTTTGGGAGCCGCTCGCGATACTGGAGGTGGCCTTTCGTATTGGCTGAGCCGGGTTTGGGCATCCCCGCGACAGTTGCAGAGCAGTTTGTTTTGTGTGTGTGAGAGAAACAATTGACTAAGCCAGGTTTGCGCAGAGTAGGGTTGACCCACGCCCGACGGTAGTCAGAGGAGGAAGCGGTACCGCTACCGCTGTGCTTGCCTCGTTTTCGTGTTGTTGGCTCCCCCGGGGGGCCCTGATGGCCACGGCTGGATCTGCCTCGAGATTCTGGTCAGAGCGCACCTTGGAAGAGGTCTGGGGAGTTTTTTTTGTCAGAAAGAGTGGTCCTAGAGGTCTTGTGCGAGGTCGTGTGCGGGATGTCTTGTGCGGTCTTGTGTTGGCTTTGTCTCGTGTGAGGTCTTGGCCACACCAGCGGCCTTGCACGAGTCGTCTTGTGCGCGTCGTGTGGGCGACCACTCTCCGCCCGGCCATGGTTCCATTTAAAGGTAGTAAATGGCTGTATCGATACGCTGCTTCAAGGAGGAAAGACCACCCGGACCAGACAATTTGCGTTGACTAAACGGCCTTGGGCGTTTCCTGAACAGCCCTGCCCTGTTCGACTCCTTCTTCGGGCGCGTTTGCTAGACGACTTCGCGTGTCGGGGAGGTTATGTTGGGGGTGGAGTTTTTGACTTCTACAGTGGGGGCGCGTGCCAAGAAACCAGTTGGATTTTGCCAGGGTGCCCAGGGTTTCTGGGGTTTCGATGGGGCCCCGGCAAAATCTTGACGATCCTCGATCGACAGATTCGGATCTTCACCGAACGGGTCGCGGACTTCAGGGTTGGGTTTCTGGCGGAGGTTTCCTGTGGCCGAGCCCCCACTGTACAGTCAACCCGCATGGTAAGGATGAGCAACCTTCCAAGGGTACCCTACAGGTCGTGGTAGTCCTGTAGGAATGCCGGGACGGGCGGTCCCTGCTCAAATGCGGACCAAGGCCAACAGCAGTTCTCTAGGTTTCCCAGATGGGGTCGGAGTACAGTCGACCCGCATGGCAAGGATGGGCAACCTTCCCAAGGATGCCCCTTGGCATCCTTCCCCTTCGGCCCATCCTTGGCCACCTCCGCCGGCCGCGCCCCGCTCGTAAGGTGTCGGCATGGCCCTCCAAGGCCACTGCTTCCTTCTCGCGCCTCCTTACTCTGCGGGTTGACTGTGCTATTGCCCCCCCCCGCCCTCAGGTACGACAGATTCGGATTTTCACCGAACGGATCGCGGACTTCAGGGTTGGGTTCCTGGCGGAGGTTTCTTGTAGCCGAGCCCCCGCTGTATTGTTGCCCCCCCCCCCCCCCCCCAGGTACGACCACCCCGCCGACGGGGGGCTGCTGGCGCAGAAGGCCCCGGGGGGGCCCTGCGCCCGGCGCCCGGGGGGGCCGACTTCCCCTCGACCCTCGGGGAGCGTTGGGCACGGACATGCTCACGCCCCCCTGGGGCCCATCCATGTCTAGTGTTGTATGTATGTATATATATACACATACATATGTATATGTATGTATGTCTATATATATACACATATATATATATATATATATATCGGAGGTTGATCGACCTCCTACCCTGACACGTCGGTTAGCGAATCGGCCGTCTTCGGTTCGCGAGAGGGCGTCGCGGCCGTCACCTTTGCGGGTCCAGGTCCGTCGGTTTCGGTCCTAGACCGTTTTCAGTGAAGGTTGGTTAACTAAAGGGAGGCTTGTCCACCGCCGAATATATTACACCAGAGAAAGAACCCCATCAATGGATGGTTTGAAATGGGATCGATAAAGAGATCGATAAGGAGATCGACCAGGCACCCGGGACCCCTGGAATGAACCCGGAACCCACCAAACTCGGCCCAGAACCAATGACCAAGATTCGGAAACCCAGGACCGGGAACCCGGGAACCCTGCCAGCCACCAAAATCGGCGGGATGTTTTCGCCAAATCTTTCAATTTCCGCTAGTACCGCTTCAGTGCTAGTACCGCTTCAATATAGAGAGAGAGAGAGAGAGAGAGAGAGAGAGAAAGAGAGAGAGAGAGAGAAAGCGAGAGAGAGAGAGAGAGATAATGCTATCTATCTGTGCACATATATATATACACATCTACACATGTCAGCGTGGATTCCAAACAATAGCTTATTGCAGTCGTATGTGCTGGAACCTAGGTGGTGCCATCAATCTAGTGCAATCGATGTGGCGTGAAACAGTCGAAGACAATGCAAAGCAATGAGCAATGCAATACGCTGCAGAGCCATGCAACTCGATGCAACGCAATGCAAATCAACGCAATGGACAGCAATGCAAAGCAACGCACAACAATGTATCGCAACTCAACGCACTGCAAAGCACTGTAACGCAATGCACTTCAACGCAAAGCAATGCAAAGCCATGCAACCATGAAGCGCAATGCAAAAGGATGCCAATCCCTACGTGCAAATCAGTGCGAAGCAATGCAAATCAATGCAACGCAATGCTAAGCAAGGCAACTGAAGTCAATGCAAGGCGATTGCAATGCAACGCAATGCAACGCAATGCAAATCGCTGCACAGTTGTGCAAAGCAACGCAACTCAAGTCAATACAATCATATTGCAATACAACGTGATGCACATCAGTGCAAACCGCCATGCACCGCGACGCAAATTACCAGTGCAGGGCCATGGTACCCAATGCAACGCAATGCAAAGCAATGCAACGCAAGGTAAAACAAGGCAATGCAGTGCAACGCAAGGTAAAACAAGGCAACACAATGCAACGAAATGCAATCCACTGCCAAGCGTTGCAAAGTAATATGCCGCAATGAAGAGCAACGCACAGCAATGTCAAGCACTGAACACCAATCCACATCAATGCATAGCAATGAACATCATCGCAGCGACAGCACAATGCAAGGCGCTGCACACCAATCTCAAACAGTACACATCAGTGCAACGAACGCGCTGCACATCAATGAACTGCAACGCACAGTAGCACAATGTCATGCACAGTAACGCGACGCAACGTGACACAATGAAGAGCAATGCCGAGACATGCAGCGGAGGGCAAAGCAATGCATAGCAATTCAGACTGCGATGCTCAGAAGCCGGGCGAAGGCTGGCAAACCCGTGGCTGCTACAGTGGAGCTCCGGGAAGTTGCTTTCTCTCTTCCGGGAATCAGCCTATTTATTATTTGGTGTGCTGGGCTTTCTTCCGGGATTGTTTTTGTTTTTCCCCGGGAAGACCTTTTTATCGGGGCGGCACAGAGGGGGGTGATGACTAGGGGGGGGTGGATATCATGGCGGGGGCCATGATATTTCCCCGGAGTTCATGGCGCCTCTTCTGATTTCATTGCGTCCCCGCCCCCCCCCCGTGGGCCGCGCACATGCCGCCGGCCATGATGTGCCCCCCCCTCTTGGACGCCCCCCTCTTGGCCGCTCCCGAGTTTGGCAGCCACGGATCTGCCACCCCCGAGACGCGAAGCAGCGCGAGGCGGGCGGCGAGGAGCCGACGGTCGGCGACGAGGCGGCCACGGCGAGGGCACGGCGGCCAGGGCGGCGCGCAGGCCCCAGGCGACGGGCGGCGACGAGGCGGCGACGGCTGCACGAGCGCCGGGTCGGCGCGCAGGCCCAGCTCCCGAGACGACGGGTAAGAAGCCACAAGAGCAAGCACTGTCTCGGGACTTCCGTATATCTGTGTACGTCTAAGTATGAACGTGCGTGTATGTATATATGTATGTATGTATGTATGTATGTCTGTCTGTCTGTCTGTCTGTCTGTCTGTCTGTATGTATGTACGTATGTATGTATGTATGTATGTATGTATGTATGTATGAATGTATATATATGTATGTATATAGATATATGTGTAAATAATTACACCCGAGAAAACCCAACCAGTGGATGATTTGAAATTCGTCATATGGATCTCGAGATCGATTGTGAGGTCGATAGTGAGATCGATCATGTAATCGATAGAGGACGATTGTAAGGTCGATTGTGAGACCAAGAGTTAAACCGATAGGGAGATCGATCGATAGGGAGATCGATAGGGAGATCGATAGGGAGATCAATGAGATCGATAGGGAGATCGATCGCGAGATCGCTCGTGCGATCTCTAATTAGTGAGATCGCTTGCGAGATCGATTGTGAGATCGATGGTGAGATCGATGGTGAGATCGATAGAGGGGTGGGAAATGAGATCGATGCTGAGATCGATCGATGAGAAGATCGACCAGGACCCCAGGAACCCGGGAACCTCGCCGCCCACCGAAATCGTCCCGGGAACCTGGAAACCCGGAACCGGGAACCCGTGAACCAGCGTGCGACCAAAATCGGCGGTAAATTTTCGCCCAAACCTTCAATCTCTGCTAGGACCCCTTCAGTGCAAGCTCTGATTGGAGTAATATGTATATGTGTATACGTGTGTAAATACACAATATATCGAAGACCCATGCACAAATCAGCGCCCACCCCCCTCTGTCTTTTGGGATTCGCCTGCGTGGCCAAACGTGTCTGGAAAGTTTGGCCGCGCTCTTCGACCAGGCGTTCCCCCAGCCGCTGTGGAAGCCCTTCGAGGAACCAAGGTGGGGAGGAAGAGGAGGAGGGGGAGAGGGAGGAACAAGGCGGACAAAGGAGAAGAACGAGGAGACCTCTTGGGAGCTTCTTGGGGCCATTCTTGGGGCCTCCTGGGAGCTTTCTGTGGGCCTCTTGGAGCCCTCTTGGGGGGCCTCCTTGGGCGCCTCCTGGGGGCCTTTCTTGGGGGCTTCTTAGGTCGCCTTGCGAGACTCCTGGCCCGTCTGACGCCGTCTGAAGCCGTCTCGGGAGTCTCTCGGGACCATCTGGGGGCCTTCTTGGGGCGCTTCAGTGTCGTCTGGGAGGCAACTTGAGCGTCCTGGAGGCCTCTTGCGCCGTCTTTGGGCTCTCTTGAGGCCGTGTTTGGGGCCTCTTGGGCCGTCGTGGGGTCATCTTGGAGGCCTCTTGGGCGATCTTCGGGCGATCTTGGGGGCCTCTTGTGCCGTCCTAGGCCATCGGAAGACCGAAATGGAGCAAATGCCAAACTCCTGCAACAACAAATTGGACATCTGTCATTTTGCCCTTTTCGGACCTTCTTGGAGGACCTGTTGGAGGCCTCTTGGGCCATCTTAGGGGCCTTTGGGGCCTTCTTGTGCTCTCTTGGACCATCTTGGCGGCGTTGGAGGCATCTTGGGACCGTCTTGGTAGCCACTTTAAGGGTAGCTCTTTGGGAGATGTTACAGTATCGGGAGCATAGCTCGCGCGCCGCTGCGTTGGGCTCAAGGCACGCGCGCCCTATTTGCCCGGACACCGCGAGTGTTCGCTATGTGCTGGAAAGATCATTACATCGATCTTATCCTATCTTACCCATCCACCCCTCATACTGTACCTTCACAGCAGAGCGATGGATGCAATTTGCCAGGCTATATGCCCTATTTGAGTTACCAGGCTCACTTTCGACTTGGTAGCGGAGCTGGCCGCACTCTCGTGTGGTCAGCTCTTGCTCTTCTTAGCCTCATATTCTTCGGCACGATCTTCGTGACCACCTACCACCCTGCGCCACCACTCCCAGTACGTTTACGAGGATCTATTCAAGAGCAAGAAGCAACACGAGAGGTACGACGTCTAGACGACCAAACTGGTACCATATACGCTTCATCATTGCGTTACTACCAACCGCTCGGCAACGAGCTAACAGCGCAATACTTGAAGCAAGGGCGGGGAGACCCGCCAGACAGAGCGCCTCGAAGACTCGACAAGGCGCTACCCCAGCGCGACAACGCGCATCATAACCGTCCTTCGTTACACATTCTCGGGCTAATCGTTTTCGCTATCATATGGTTCGCGCTGGGGGCAGCAATCGGACACATGCGTCGTGGAGATAACAGCACCGATGGGCAAACACATGGCCCATATTGGGACCCTCAAGGTAATGTACCTTTTCGTGAGTACATCTACGAGGTCAACGCATGGCTCAACGTTACAAGCGGACGTATGACGCCACAGGCCCAAGCGGCCGCAATACAACGCGGCCTAGGTGGCCTAGCGAGGACACTCGCCATGAGGGTACCGCCTGACATTATAAACTATGGTGCTGACATTGATGGGGTCCACACAGACCCAGTAACTTACATCATGTTCCTCCTCAGCATGAAGTTCGAACGCCTGGAAGATGAGCGACAGCTCACTTCCGGCACACAACTCATCGACTTCCATGTGCCTCACGGGGAACGAATCGATGTCACTCTTACCCGATTCGAAATGGCCCGACTTGAGGCACAGTCGGTGGGATTCGACCTTCCTAACTTCCAACTGCTAACCACTATCCTATTCCGCGCCTTAGGCGTCGGCAACCAGAAAGCCATGCAACTCTTA